TCGAGGAAAGAGCAGACATCATAATCTCTGATGATAGGAAAAAGAAACAAAAAGTACATAAGGATAGGGTAAATAATTTTAATTAATAGATACAAAAACATATTATTCCTAATCTTTTTATTTTTATAAATTTGAATTCAGATACAGTTGTAGAAAGAAAAGGAAGAATTTAAACAAATTTTTAATTAATTAAGTTATTTTCCAAAGCCCTGATGTACTTTGCAGCTAGAACGCAGCGATCCCCCGATTCTGATGACTATGCGAAGGCCAGAGGGGTTGGCAGATACTTTGGTAAATAATCTATTAATGATGGCCTTGAATGCCTATTGCTGCCTTCATAGGGCTCAAACATTGCGTAAGCCGTCAGCGCTGCTTGGCGCCAAGCGACATAGTGCGGCCTATACGGCCGCTAGCATTGTAGGTTCCATGCCACTTGGTGTTTTCAGAGTCGGCCTTTTGTCAATGTCCTTCACTCGGAGGCCCTCACTATCGTAAACACTTTACTTGTCACTCAAATGGTGCGACCTGATACATTAAGCGCCACCCTATGCAAATAAAAACACTGCGTTCCCTAGCATAAATCGCGAGGGCCAAGAGAAACGCCTTCTTTTTGTCTTTTAAAGACTCCTCACTGTTTATACAAATTCACGTAAGGATAAGAACTATTTAGGAGACTGAAACCTGATTGTTATTTGTTTTTATTTTATTTATTTATGATTACTATATTTCCTTGTACACGGGGATTTCTCATAAGCTGACATAAAAAACATTCAGAACAATTCACTTACAATCTTTATTTTTTCTTCTGGCTGCTTTTCATAATATAATTAATAATTATTAAATAAATTGTCGACCGGTTTAGCGCTGGTCCACGCTAAATGCGTCGGTTTGTTGTATTTAATTTGTTTGAGGCGAGGGTGGGCCCATTAGTCTATTCTTTCCTTGTAGAATTTCTCGGTGGAAGCGAGGGGTTTCCCTTCGGCTCCTTTTTGTTATGTTATTTACAAAGTGTTAAACGTTTTATTTCTTTCACTTTACGTTCTTCATCACATGTAAAATATGCATATTCTGTACGACAGAATTTCTGCAAGTTTCTTAGATGAATCGAAACAGTGCGTCAGCGACGAACGCACTCTTAACGAACTTTTTTGTTTGTTTTGTAAGGCACTACAGGCACGGTTGAATCTGAGTGTGAAACTAAAATACAAAACACGAAATATAAATTGACATGCTGCGGACGGCCGCACAGCTCGAGCAGCGCTGCCCGCGCAGCGGTTTCCAATTCTGCCGCGTCAGCTACCCGTGCAGACGCTGTCGACGGATGTTTATGCAATTGATGAATCGCGATGCCCGTCTACTCCAGCGCAGTATCAGCTTTCTTACAAAGTAAGAATTCCGCTGATACCCTGCAGCTGGTGCGGAGTGTTTATTTACATATGTACATATGTACAGCTGTGTTCTATGAAATAGTTGTGCCGCACCTCACCACTTTCAAAACTAGTTTTAAGACATTTTCAATCATCCAAATTAAACAAGTGATACCTTTTTAGAAAACCTGTAAGGTTCAGAAATCCTGGAACATTTGCATTTCATCTTCTTGCTTTACATGACTTTACAAAAATATCCATGAAAACTGCTGTTCAATGAAATAGTAGTACATTTTTTTAAAATCAAAAAAAAAACCGAAACTCAACTAAATACCCATTTTCCATGCTCTACATTTTTCTTGAGTATTAAAATTTTTTTTTTTTTATTAATTTTAATTTAATTACTTCCTTACTCCCGCCTGGAATAAATCAATTAGCGTTAATAGGCTCTCAAATTGCTCTGGTTGCCGGAATTGCATTTATTATAATGCATTTGGCATTTGGACTGATTTGAAAATGGAAAAACTTTTTAAATGAAACCCAGTTCCTGGTGAGCTTTCTTGAGTAGTTCGGATCATTATCTTGTTGAAAGTTCCTTTTTAAAGGTGTTTTTCAACTGGAATATGAATGTAATGTATGAAAAAGTATGCTGGCCCACACAATTTTGTGAAATACTCCAAAGCCAGGTTAGGAAGTATCACTTTGTATAGGCTGGAGCACAATAGGCTCAACCCAACATGACCAATACGGGTTTGTTCAATAAATTAGACACTAATCTGATGTCAAACCTATTCTCTTTGTTATTTCTTACCATATTATACCATAAAAGCTAGAGTCACCAAATTTTGCATCCAGATGGCTGTATGCTCACACTGTTACAAGTGTATTTAAAAAATGATAAATTTGACAAAACACCGCTAAGGTACAGATGTAGTACTGAGTACCGGGTATAAAAGTTGTGACGCGTAAAAAGCGTCTCACACGTCCCTTCTCGTTCAAATTAATTTGTTGTGTTTTTTTATTATTTTGAAGTACTTGCACTCTGCACTACTATCACAATGAAGAGCCCATTTTAAGGGTATCCGTCAAAAGTTATGAAAAACAAGAAGAACGAATGAATGTTAGGAGGTGCGGCACTACTATTTCATTGAACACAACTGTACATACATACATACATATATATGTACACGGATTTTATAATTCTCACATGTGTCGGACCAGAACCAGAACTATAATAACGAATCTTTTTTCCAAAAGTGCTGTAAATCGTTTGGTACTTTATATGATTAAAAGTCAAACAAAGGCTTTTTACGCATAATTATAATTAACAATTCACTGACAAGCTAAACCCAGAAGAGCTTACAGAAGCTGTTTTATTGAGCTTAGTAGTCGAGAAAAGTATGTCAAAAGCTTTGATGCCTAGCTTTTCGGATATGCAGAAAGCTTTCTTCGGAGTTTCTGTTAACTCCAGTTGTTTAACGGACAATGACGACAGACAATTGCCCCTTGCCTGGTGCTTGGTCTGGGATCGGTCAACGCGGGACTCATGCTGCTTGCCAGAAAGCCAAGCCGTGTTAGCCCGATAGTTCGCTTAATGGTCAAACACAGGACACACAGACACAGATGATGGGTAGCCAAATACTTTAGAACTCCCGCTGGGGACGCCAATGCCAACACCCCAGCCCGCTCCAAATGAACAGCAAATGCTCGGCAATCATCCGCTGAGTCGCAATTCAAAGAGGGAGAATGAAAACAAGCAGAAATGCTGGCTAGATTTTATGCTAAACATTTATTGTATTATGTTTTCGGTTGTTCTGGCGCGGTAGTTCTGTCCCCAGAGCCCTGGAGCATCAGAAAGGACCAGCCCTGTGCCATTTCTTGATACGGTGCACCATCAATCAAGAGGCCCTCCCTGCCCTCTAGCCACCGGCCCTGATGACAAAACAAACAGCAAGAGAACAACGCCAACAAAACAAAACATTAAATAAAATTTTAAAAAAATTTGTGTGCTGGCAAAGCTTTGCTTAGAGTCCAACTCTTATTTTATGGAGTATATATTTGATTAATTCTTAGGTCTACATAAATGGCCATCTATTAGGCAGTTAAGGTATACAATATAATTATTTAATAATACACAAATGTATATGTATTTATGTAGTTTGTCTGTGTATAACTCTGTTTGTATACAGGTAGAGCTGCTGAATTGGGTGCGAATTAGGATACCCATGCTCAGTGTACTCGTAGAAATGCATCACATCTGATTTTACTTTTATTTTATAAATATTTATCCCTATTTTAAGTACATATATTGTATTTAATTCAATTATTTGTTTGTATTGTAGTTTCTTTCTGGCTAGTTTTTTGAAAGCAACAAACACACACATTGGTTTGTAATATTGTTTATTGTTTATACAATTAAGTATTTCTACCTTTCTTTAAGAAATTTGCCTCTAATTTACGAGTATATGTAGCTATGCAATATGTCTAATATGAGTATGTATGTAGATTGTTTTAGTGGCTAAATTCATGAATTCTGGCTTATTCAATGTACTTGCTGTTTGGCTCAATAACTCTCTAGATACTTATACACAGATATACTATATGTAGGCATGTACATATTTATTTTTGGGTAAATTCATTTAAAATCGTTCTATTCATTTAGTTAGGACTTTTCTTCTTGTTTGATAGTTTTTATCAGGCCATAAAAGCAGACCATATTCGCCAGCGAACCATTTTTGGTTGCATAAAATGTGGGACTTTCCATAGAAATCAATCAATGAGCGGAGGCACCATCAGGCCGCATGGCAAGACATATTTTGGACTCATTCGGGCTTCTTGGGCGGCCTGCATCTAAGCATAGCGAAGCATCAATAAACTTTCAAAAACTATGTCTATTTTCAGACGGTTAACGCCTGGGCTTGTATAGTAGTACACCGAGATGTAGCTGCTCCCTAAAATTCGACCCTGCACTGTGGACTTGGCACAGATATGAGGTACATATCTGCACGAATCTGATTCTCGAATGTGAATCTAAACTCATCGACCTCCACGCGCTTGAAATTTTGGGCTGTGCTTTGCTTTGCATATTCTTAATTTAATTTAATTGAGTCATAGATTTAATTCAATTCTGGGTGAGGCCTTAAACCTGCGCAAAGATATGCGACTGTTTCATTTTGGATGTAATTATGTATTTATATTTGCTAAATATGTATGTATGTATGTAGTTTCTGTGGGTTGCTTACATACTTATATGTACATACGTGCTGGTACATATTTAGTATGTTTCTGCTTGAAACCGCAAAAAGATTTTCACATTTAGATTTAGGTATTTTTTGTGTCATTTATCGTATATTATTCCGAGTAGCACCTAAAATACTATTTGATATTGGGTTGTGGTTATACTTATGTTAATTAATTTTCTTTTTGTTCTCTGTGTTGGTTTTGGTTTTTGTTTTGCTTTTGTTGCTTTGTAAATACACACATCAAATATAAATATGGATAATAAAATATATTTGTAAGTACTAGCATTGTAAGTATGTTTTTTGTTTTGTAAATTTTAGACACAGATATCCATATAATTCTTATTTCTTGTATTTGTGTGTACGTAGGTCTTGTATATTGTATTTGTATATTAATAGTAGATAGCATTTATCTATTAGTTATTGCACATCAATCAGAGTAGAGTTGGATAAAGTTTGATATTGTATTTCATTGACTACACATTCACATTCACTTAAAACTGTAAACTACTATACTGTGTGTTGTGTGTGTATTAATTTTGGTTGCTTATGTTAGTTGGCCACCAATTACTCTCCAAATTTTCAATTGCTATATATAGCTTGTTGTGTCATGCTAGGGATGTAGTAGATACATATATGTAGTATGTCCATCTATCATTGATTTCAAACATCAAGTAAATAAAATTGTCAGCAATATCATGAATTCATTGCATTGCATTGGGATTAATATCAAACATCAAACATGGTGTTCTATACTACCTTAGGGCTAAATACATATATCTACCCTCTGCTCAATCCACAGATTCTATGGTTATTTCATTGCAAGTTGGACTTTGCTTTCCACCTTCATCCTTTATTATTTATTTTGCGTCCGACATTCGGCAAACCTAAATCAACTTCTTTTCTTCGCGTCCCGTCAGCTTCGACTGAAATCCTAGTTGGAATCAAAAAAATTTCACCTGGTTTTCATTGTCTAAAATTGTAGGATTTCCCACGATAACTAGCTAAATACTCGTGATAATGACTATCCATCCATTCCATTCCAATACTTTCATTCGGGCAGCCAAGATTTCACTGTGTGTGGTTTTTTCTGCACCTAAATTCTACTCCGTTTTATTCGTTCAATCGCGTCTCTAAATCGTGGAAACCATCTGTCTGTCTGAACGTTTGTCTCCTTAATATTTTACTTGATTTTATTCTCAACCTTTGAGCTGGGCGTTGGCCTGGGACTCTTCCGATTCCTGGGCTCCTGAAACCGAAACTGAAACTCCTATTTTTTTTACCTCCAAATATTACTCAAGAACTAAAACTATTTTCTTCGATTTGCATTGCACCTCCCACCCGTGCAAGTATCTACCCTGCATCGTATCATTCTCAGCCTTTCCTCTGCGCAACACATCTCCTGTTAGGGAGGAGATGTCCTTTTCCCTTTGAATCCTCACTTGGACGTTTGAACTTCACCTTTACCCTTACCCTGAACCATTTTTGCCATGCTCGTCCATTTATTCCCCCCCGTTCTGCCAATGCCCACCACCAAGCTCTATGGCTTTCTCTTTCGCTTGGCAAACATCTGGGACAACAATCAGAATCAGACATCTGTCGACTTGGGCACGGCTCCAGTCTCGGCGCCGGGTGCTCGAGCGCGCTGCTGCTCCGGCTGATGCTGTTGCTGTTCAGGCTCCTGCTCGTCATCTGTCTGTTGGGATCGCTCTACCTTGATGGGCTCCTGCGAGAGATGTATTTGGACAACGTGCTGTTCCTGCTGGTCGCCGTGCCGCCCGGCCAAGTGCTCGTCGCTCTCATCCAGATCCTTGGCCAGCGTCTCGCTGCGTAGCAAGCGGCGCTTGTGTGTGGCGTTCTTCAGGCTGGAGGAGGGTGCTGGAATTGGGATGTTAATATGGAACTCATCGTCCGCTGACTCAATGCGGTCGAGGTGCCCGCCAGACAAGCTGGCGCCACCGCCTCCACTTTCGCCGGACGCGGTGGACTGGGCAGCCGCTGCAGCAGCGGCACTGGTGGAGGGCCCATCCCCGCTTTCAGCCCCCGTTGGGGGAGCATCGCGGCGGTTTGCACGTCGGCCGGTGGGTGCGTCGTGGAGCGCCAGCTTTTCCATCTCTATGCGTAGCTCGCCGAGGGTGGCCGATGCGAAGCCCGGGCGCCTGGTCTCATCCACGTGCACCAGTACGAAGGGGAGCTTTAACGACAATTCGCCACCCATGCTGCTCAGAGTAAGCTTGACCTTGACATAGTAAGACACATAGATGGCAAAGATGTTCCGATCCTCCGTCGACGTGGTGGTGGCGTTTCCCTGCTGTGGTGGCATTTCGGCACTGGGCATTGCCATGGCCGGACTAGGCAGGGACTGTCCGGCCTGCTGCACATTGGGCACAACATAGTGGGGAGGACGTATTGCCGAGGCGGCGATCTCCCCAGTGATCTCGTCCGGCTCGGTACTTCGCTGCAGAGTGTCCTCCAACGCGATCCAGTTCTTTGTCTGGCCGCGCTGGGGCCGTAACACCACCACCGAATTGACCGTGGCACCCGGACTAACGGTACGGTCCACCGGCGGCGAGATTTGCTCCGAGTCAGCCACAACATTCTTAAACTTCCCATTGTTGAACATACAGACGTCCACATGCTGGATGGCGCAGACCTGTAAAACCCACCCCAAAGGCCCGGAAATAAGAATAGAACAAAGAAAGTTATAGATGAGAGATGGATGGAGAGATTGGAGATGGGTGTGTGATCTGCTCTGGATGGGTAACAGGATGCTTATTGCAGAGCCACATAAGCCACCAAGCTAGGAAATGGCAGATTGCGAATATGCCCAAACGTTTGTGGCTAGATATAATGATGAAATCTCTTAATAAGCAATCTGGAAGTGTGTTTTTTTATAACCAATCGTAAAGGGCATTCTGAAGTGGGGCATCATGTCCTTCGTGTTTGCTTTGGATAAGCGCCAACAATGTCAAGCTCAAACATTATTTTATTGGTTCGGCCCAAAATGTCGCTCGCTTTGCGGCTCTCTGGCTCAATCTCCCGCCCAATCAACAATAATGCACTCAATTGCCGTCCATTCAAGTGGTCATGTAACAATACGAGTATCCATGCAGGAAAAACCGCCGCAGCCACAGCCCCAAACACGAACAACAACAACAAGAAATAGGAAAGAAAAATAAATTAAACTCCGAAATGGTTTCACTTATTGACGGGCCGGCCATCAATGTAGGTAGGTAGGTTTTTTGTTGTATTTTAGGACCTGTTACGGCAATCTGTGCCAAACAAACGCTCTCATTTGTGCACATTTCATCATCGATTTAATAACCTTGAAGGGAAAAGTCCAGGAATATAGCTTTAAGAGCTCTTTAAGGAGCCTTAGACTTATAAATAAATAACTACTTTCCAGCTCTCTCTCTCTCTCTCTCTCTCTCGATGACAATTCAAGTGCTATATATGCACAAAACTTCAAAGACAAAAAACTGTATTCAATTCGATTTGATTTGGTTTCATTCCATTTGATTTCATTTATAACAAGCAAACAGTGAACCATGGGAACAATGACCTCCTTTTCCGGATCCATTGTTAAAATACTTGTAATATATTTTTAATCGACATACATGCATCAGAACTCTGTAGGTACATGCAAAACTGTTGAGAAAACTGAAATATGGCGCACCACTATTAAGTTGTCAGCTGTTTAACAGAGCTTTTCGCCAGCGAGAATGATGAATATTTTGTGTGTGTGTACATAAGAGTGCTTAATGAAAGAACTTTTACAATTCAGTTCAATTAGAGTGTCTTCTTATCTAGTCTTCTTTTAGCCTTGAGACGTGTTAATTTTCCTCAAAAATTGCACACGAAAAAAAAGACAACACAAAAAGATTCCTCCCATAGTGCAATGTTTTTGGTCAGTTTCTATACTTGAATGCGGGCTCTCCAAATTTGCTCAACAAACTCCTTCATTGGGCTGGATGCCCTTTTCTTCGGGGGGGTAGAGTTTCGGCAGCGTTCTTTAATCGAAATGAGAAATCACAAGCTTTCAGCGACTATTTCCGTTCACAATTCTCATTTGTATGCAACATTTAAAAGCTGCCCCCACCTCACATTCTACAAAGCACGAGTACTAGCATTTTCTTTTGTGCGACACTTGAGGGACTTTCAATTGGCTCTGGTCCAAAAGGATTCTCTGTATTCGATTGACTTTTTGGCTGCCCGAGGACTTGTTGCTGTGGCTTCTCTGCCATTCCGCACTGCTTCCTGCCTCTGCACTGCTTCCACCCCACTGTTCGTGTACGTATTATTCGAAATTGAATAACAAATGTGCGAGCTAGAGCTTAAGATATATGTACCTTCGATGGGACGTTTCTTTCTCCACGTCTTGGTCAACTTTTTACTTTTAATGGCGAAAAAGTAAAAAGCAATTTATGAGCATTACCGAGCTCTACCGACCCCGCTCCTGCCATCCAGCCATAAATATACTTAATAAAGCGCAAAGTGCACGAGGAAGTGCGGAAGAAGTGCCACCCCGAATAAAAGCATAGCATACTTTCCTGCTGCTTCGAGAAAGCAGCATGAAAGGACGAAGCGACATGCGACTGCATAAGAGATAGTTTTGGTCTCATCTGGGAACCGCTAACATCAAATGAAAATAACATTTCATTTCTTTTTTTTAGATGTTTCCTCCAAGTCATATTTTCCCTTGAAGCATTCAAGCATTAATTGCATATATTGCAGCTAACTGTAATTATAGGTTCTAAAATTATAATAAAAGTAATTCAGCCCATACTTTTCTGCGAGCCAACAAGAAATTGCGTTTATTTAAAATGTTTTCCCATAGCAGTTCCCAGTTCTGTGTGTGCTTCTTTTTTGCTGAAACCTTTTACGATTGATGGTTTATCGAGTATTTACGCTGGCTGGCTGGCTAGCAAGTCAATTCCATATGTGGCAAATGTCATAACGTGTATCTGTCGGATGACTTTATCGACATGTCGAAGTCTAGTTCCCAGTTCCCAGTTCCCAGTTCCCAGTTTTCTCTATGTTTATGTCTGTGGTTGTTCCCCTATCCCTGTCCACGGATAAACATATGTACATATGTACATATGTACTTGTGTTCCATTCATCAATTACATCAATGAACAATGCTCTGTGAAAATACTGCATTACAATAAAAATAAACAATAAAGTTTGACAGCCGGCACCATAAAACATTTTCCATTGCGCTCACTCAAGGCCTGCCCACAGTCTCTCTCTGCTCACTGACTCACTGCTCCCTCCTTCCTCCTCCCTGTCACCTTGCCACTGGTTTCCTGTTGCCATTTCTTCAGTCAGTCTTGAGTCCTGTTCTTATGCATTTTACATTAGCCTACAGTTACATTTTCCGACCTTTTATCATTCAACTGTGGCCGCTGCTTTGTGTCTCTTTGTCGCAGTCTTTCCTCCAGTGCACTATGGGGTATTTGACCACTTTTTGTGGCATTAATTAATAACTTCCAAACGAAACAATATTTTTTGATTTCGTTTTTTGATATGAGTCTATAATAGTGAAAGGAAGGATTGTTGAAAAAATGGTCTTGCCACCGCCTTTTCTTCAGGGTAAAATCGAATTTTTATTTTATTTTTAAATTGTATCAAAAAAAAATGATGGGAATATGTAAAGCAATGTCATATTTTACTTTAAAAAATGTGCCCGAATTTTTTAAAATGGAAAAGTAGAAGATAATTGGGTTCATACATTGACTTCCTTGTATAGTGCAAGCAGATTCTTTTCTTTAAGTGTTGAATGTTGGACACAATAGCGGGAACCGAACACCCAAGTCTTTTCAAAGATAAATTTTCGTCACAAATATGGACTTGTTAAGAACTAGCCATTAAACATATTATGAGGTCAATTTTTTTAAATTACAAACTCACAATCACACTTTTAATACCTGACTGAATCTAGATTATTGTAAAAAATTACCTTAAATTGGTCAATTTAGCAATTTTTTCTCTTTAAACTTCATGAACAAAATCAGTTTTGCGATAACTTTCTATCCTTCGTAGCAAACAGCTGAATTGAACAGCTGTTATCTTAAAAGTGGTGCGCACTGTTTAATTTGTTGGGTACGTAACATTACGGACTGATGTTATTCCTATGTATATCTGTTAAAAAATATTACTTTTTTGACTTTTGACAAATGAGTTTCCAGGAAAAGTGGTCAAATGCCCCCATAGTGCAGTGTTTGCTTCGCTCTTTGCATGCTTAATATCCTGTTCTTAATTAAACGGCATGACCAAGCCACGGCCTAGCAGTTGGGCAGCCGGATTTTCCACTTATTGCAAATCAATTTGCGGAGAGTCAGCCCCAAAGCCTACCGTATAGCTGATTATCCACGGAATGGGCACACAAGGGAGCTGGAAGCAAAGAAAGAGTCAGAAACCGCCTGCAAACGAGCAGCAGCGAAGGAAACTGTACTCTTGGAGTCCCGAAACACCTGTATGTGCAACTGTGTGCGTTCGACAACTGTTCCCAGGATGATGATGATGCATGAATGATGTGTGAAAGTAGCGAAATTCAACATCTCTTGGGCGTCGCCAACCCATCGTTAAGTGTCAAACAGAGGGCAGAGGTAGGAGCTTCCTCAAAAGAACTAGCTGCATTGTATTTACTTTTCCTATGTGTAAAAAAAAAATCCCATAAAGTGTATAAACACAATTTTCTTTTCAACTTTCGCTTATCCTGTCCTGGAGATTCAACCGTCCTGCCATTTTATGTGGATAAACGGCTTGAATTCGTGTGACTGACAAATGTGTTGCACAATAAGAGTACGAGTAATCTATCAAATTATTTTTGAATTTCCTTTGCTAAACTGACTTCTAATTACATAAACGAAGCGCCTTTCACCTATTTGGCTTTAACTTTTTTCTGTCATAACTGACGCATACATGTCAATAACTCGCCAGTGCGGACTCTGAGACTTTTTATGATTGCCTTTGCTTTGTTTTATGACAAAATTGAAGCTGTTTTTTTGATTATCTTTCTGCCTGATATAGACATGGACATGGACATGGACATGGCAATTACACAAAAGTTTTTTTCTTGGCCAACTAATAAGCAGCCGAAGCACATTGTTATTTGATGTACAAGGAGTATGTACAGTGTGTGTTATGTGTGTGTGTAACGTTTGTTAGCTAAATTGATAAACATGAAACTGCATAAGTGGCTTTAAATAAGAAGCAGCTTAAACATAGAATGGGACGTTGGCTCAGGCATTTGCTTTCTTCATATATCTTGATGTTACCTGCATACTCGTTTCTTGCTCAACCAATTTCATGGCTTGAAGTCGAATTTTAATTAATGCCCATAATTAAATTTTGCCTGTCTAAAATGGTAATAATTAATATTTGCCATCACTCACACGTCACATGTCCGACCGTCCGCTCGTCCGCTCGTCCAGTAAACTCAATCAGAGATATCCATATCCAAAACGAAGCTATTGTCAAAAACTGAGCTGCAGCTTGCTGTTGTCGTGTTGTTGTATTGTGTTTTGTCTTATGTACGGGCATTACAATGATGATACGAGCTCCAAGCATTGCCTGCTGGGCCATTCCATTGTTTGGCTTTACGGGCAATAATGTGGAAAATTATCCTGATAATTGACTGAGAGCAATCCTTGAGCTGCTGCTGCTCAAGGCGACTGTTGATTTACTGTTGATCAACAATTGTTTTCCTCTTTCATTCAGGTTTGTGTGGCGCCCACGCTCCACAATCGCAATCAGAGTACTAGTGCCAGTGCCAATGCCAAGGCCAATGCCATGACGGGGATGCACATTATTCGGTCGAAGTGGAAGTAAGCACCAACTAAAGCAGCCATTAGGCATGTGGTTAGTTCACAGCTACCGCCCCTGAACTCTTTCTTCTTGCATTAATCAAGCAACAGTTCTGCAATGGTACACCGCGGCCCCACATCCCACACACACACACACACTGGGTCATAAATGCAGAGTTGTTAGGAGTCATGGCAATGACTAAAAGAACGGACGTAGAGTAAGCCAGCACTCACCCTCACTTTTCGCACCGTCTTGCGGCTGTCGTTGCGTATCTCAATGGTCACATTGACTTCCTCGCCATGGGTGTACCAGCCCTTGTCCAGGCTGGCCTTCAGTCCCACACGACCATCGTGCAGCAGGAATGGCTTGTCCACGGTGCCCTGGGGTCCTCCGTCGGGCCCGAGAGTGATGCTGCCAATGCCCCCGGACACCCCAGCACCGCTAAATGGCGACAACATGCAGTCGCAGTGATGCTATTAAGATACAGATTGACACACAAGCTAGGACCATGGACCATGGCATTGAACACATTTATTCGACACTCACCTCCTGGAAGGACTTGCTGTAGTTGTGAAACGAGTCCGGTGGGCACTTCTCGATCTCGCTCTTGCTGCGACCAAAGCGCCCGCTGAACCGGAATGCCTTCGGTGAGAGACGCAACTTTGGGAACGAGTCACCCCTCTCGGACTTGCCCTTCGCCTTTGTGCCGGAACCCAGGGAGTGGGTGGGTGTTTGGGTGTGCTGCTCGCTAGTCTCCGTATTGACCGGTAGCGTGGCACTGGATGGTGCGGCCGGTGGCGACGTCTTCGACCCGCTGCCCTGATGATGGCAGCCCGAGCAGGTGGCAAAATGTTCGACGCCCGAATGCTGAAAGACGTCCGTGCGGTAGATGACACGAACCCCCATCTTCACCGAGGCCCGCCGATGGAACTTTTCGTCGGTCTTATCAGCTTCAGGGTTGTCAAGCAATCGCCACAAAAAGAACAGACAGAGAAAAAAGAAAACCAAAACAAAACGTGAACAGGCTTTAGTTTGTTGTCATTGTGGGTGGAAGGTTTGCTGTAAGCTGCCGCTGTCGTTGCCGCCGCCGTTGCTCCAACAATTTTGCGGAACAAAAAAATGTTTTGCCAAATATTTATGTTGTTGTTGTTGTCTTTTGTTTGTTTTTGTATGATACAAATTTTCATTTCAGTCGAGTCCGGGTGACAGAGGTTCAGAGGGCGCTTTCCGTTTGTTCACTGTCCGTAGATTGTGCGAATCAGCCAGAAAATGATAATTAAATATTTTGTAACTTTGTGTAACGCCATTGCACTAAAGTCCCAATGACCACTTTTGTTGGCTAAAAGCTAATTTTTAAAAGTTAAAACCAAGACGCTGTTTTTGGCGTTCTGTATTAGAAAGAGATTGACCATCAAAGTTGCGTACCAGAAATTTTCATAGATGTCGCACAGCATGTGTAGTGAAAAAGTACCAATTGTATTGCTATTTTAAATATCTCATAAATTGAAAAATAACTGATTAACTGATCCAATTGTTTTGATGCATTTTATTCAGTAGGGTTTTTACTACGTGTTTTGTAATGTGAGCGGTATCTAGTAGTTGGCGATGTCTTCGTAATTGTTTGTTAAAGTGAGGCCTTCAATATGCCTATAACAATTTTTTTTTATATAGTGACACCTAGTCCCACCTTGAAACCGAATGTGTGTCGTAGAGCAATAAATGATTGTTAAACTGTATATAGTCAGAAATGCCACATTTGAGGAAAACTCTTACAAAATTTGCATTTATAGATCATAACCTTAAATGAGAAATTTCAATGTCTTTTCGCCGTTTGGAACACAATGAAAAAGAAAATTGTGAAGTAGGGTGCCATTTTGCATTGCATTTAAGCCACAATATTAGTCACTAGCTATTTTGGAGGGCTAGAGTTTGATATCCAGTGTTATATTGTTTTATAATGGAAACTCCTATGGAGAATGCTTTGTGGGAGAACAAATTCGATTATCTTGAATATTCAAGGGGTTTTCCATTTTTTCAAAAAACCTTCCTCTTGCTATTCTTAAATAATATCAAAAGACTAAATCCAAAAATCTTGATTCGTTCGCGAGTTATTAAGTTAGGACGACAAAAGTGGTCTTTGGGACCATAGTGCATTGATATGGTTTTCGTATTGGTATGGGGTGTTGGGTGTTGGCGAGCGGCCACTAGAACGGAGTACACAAAAAAAACACATGGAACATGGAAGAAATGGAAATGGCACACAAACAGACAGACAGAAATGGTGGAGATAAACATGGAAAGATTTAGATCAAGAGAAAAATATAGGTATGTGTCGTGAGGAGGTTAGCTAGTGTCCATATCTAGTAAAAAGAAAAAACTAAATATGCAAGTAATAGTAGATCCAAGCGCGCACAAATTCACGCATTTGCAATGCACAGATCAATTCCCAGTGGACCAAAAGACGATGGAAAAGCACAACTATCGCAAAAGGTTCGTAAACATATCAGAGAGCGATTACGGAAGTCTCGCTTAATGCTTGAACGTGGGCTCAAAAACGAGTATTAGCGAAATAATTAGCTGAATTGTATCGCGCAAACGATCTCAAAATTTAAATTTCACTGTCATAAATAAAACGTTGGCTTTGTATCGTTTGTAATATCGCTTACGAAGTTTTGGTCCACTGGGAAGTGGAAAACAAAGCTAGCCTTGATAGCCAAAGCTTCCAAATACCCTTGCAGAGTACTCAGGGCTTCAATTGAACTGCAAATGGAATTTCGTTTAGACCAGGTAAAATGTACTAATAATAGTAGGAGTAATGCCAGTACTGGTAAAATTCCAGCATGAGCCAGAATAAACTCGAGCTCGGATGCTAAAACCTATAGAGCCTCAACGACGGATGGACTTATTAATTTACTTATGAAATGATCTAGTTACGGAGGGGACTCTGCAAGGGTACACCCAAAAAGTGAAACTGTGACATTAATGCAAGAGACAGACAGACAGACATACAGATAGAGAAAGAGAGAGATAGAGAGGGAATGACAGAGAGTGGGAGAGCAAGGAAAAAAAACAACACCAAAAAGGAATGAAAGGAACGTAAACGGTACAATCACGATCATGACACCAATCGGAGCCGATCTGATCGAAACGTTGCCCGATCAGTGCCGATCTCCACATCCGCCCTTGACGATCATCGGAAGGTAATTAATTACCTTCGTCGGATGCTGTGCACATACAGGCAAAACAGCATTCGCAAAGGCGAGAGAAACGACTCTGCCTTTTCTTGGGGGCGGCCTCCATTCGTATCATTTCTTCGTAGACAAAGACATCTATAGGTTGCGGATACGGTTTGGATGGAGAGGGGGAACGATCAAGAGCTGGTTCAAATTCAAGAAACGAAACAAAGCAAATAGTACAGTGCAATCAGGTGATTTGAGTGTGTTCTTTTTTGACTGCCAATTCGACTGCCAATCATGTTGACAGAGCAAAAGTTGTTTGAAATCGATTGAAACGTGGAAGATATCTATTAAATAAATTGCGCACAGCTTCTGGAATTGGCAGGACTTGCTCTCGGATGCGCGGTATGGTTGTACGAAAGTGGAAGTTGTCCTGGGCAACCCCAATGAAGGGTTCCTGCCTGTAGTCTGTATGCTGGAGCTATCCGTTAAGCAGGTTGACACAATTGAATCAGTGGTCGCCCGGAAGCAGCGGGCAAGCAGGCTGGAATGTTGGGCGGGGCTAAGCAGCTTTAACCCACAGTCAAAACCACACACAGAGAGTCCACAGATGGAATAAATTCTTTGCCCTGGCGGCCAGGATATTGCAGGATATCCCCTTGAGCGAAGGAAAGAATATATTGTGGCAACATGGCGTAAAATAAAGACAAGGGACGTGTGAGACGCATCGAACGCGTCACAACTTTTATACACGGTACTCAGTCAAAGTACCTGTCCCATATTGTTTTTTTTATACTCGAAGAGTAAGTAGGTTATATTGGATTTGTGCACAAAGTGAATGTATGTAACACACGGAAGGAAACGTTTCCGACCCCATAAAGTATATATATTCTTGATCAGCATCAATAGCCATGTCTGTCTGTCCGTCTGTTCGTCCGTCCGTCTGTCCGTCTTGTTTGTCGGCTAGTTCTCAGAGACTATAAGAGCTAGAGCACTAACCAAATATAGATAAATATAGATTTGTCTGTAAAAGATGGATTTGGTAACAATGTTGATAAGACGGCAGCAACGAAGTCGATAAGCGAAGGCGTTTCCATAATAAATGCATACAATTTTGAATAAAGCAGTTAAAATCTGCATATAGAACAATTACAGCATACAATTACAATAACAACTTTTATTGGTATATTTATTTTTTCCAACCCCCCCAAAGGTCCGGCCACCAACCCCCACCCCTCATTCTGCACATGTTGCGGTAGGTCAGGTTTATACGCCAAGCCCCGAAAACAAAATCAAATCATCAAAACGAATTTTCGTTCCATCGCACTTCAGAAAGTCAGCGCACCAACCCATACATTACTTGCAGTGTCTGTGTGAATCAAGACAAAACCGGTTTGGAGCGCTAAAATATCATTGGCTACACGCACTTATACAAATGTAGCTGGGACTTCTGGCTGCGTGCTCTACACGCACTTATACAAAATGTAGCTGGGACTTCTAGTTACGTGTTCTACACGCACTAATACTTGTAGCTGCGACGTTGGCAGAAGCCTGGGACTTCCCGGGGCAATTGGCAATCTATTATACTATTTGGTTAGTGGCTAGAGCCACCAAATTTTGCATCCAGACTGCTATATGCTCACACTGAAACCAGTGTATTTCAAAAATGAGCCCCGCCCCCTTCCGCCCCCGTAAAAGGGTGAAACCTCCCAAACCTACAGTTTTGAAGATAAAAGAAAACTAAAAACTCCATTCCGTAGGGAATGACCATGTCTATCAGATCACCAAATTATTATAGCCACAATGAAGAAATTAATTTCCAGAACTAGCCGACAAACAAAACGGACAGACGGACGGACAGACGGGCAGACAGACATGGCTCTATCGACTCGGTTATTGATGCTGATGAAGAATATATATCCTTTATGGGGTAGGAAACGTTTCCTTCTGTGCGTTACATATGTACAACTGTTATTCGCACAAATACAATTTACCCTTTTTACTCTTCGAGTACCGGATATAAAAAGTAAACACGAACGGAATGGAATGGAATGCAATCTCCATGTGAATGCGAAGACGAGGCCGGAGTTGGAACTGAAGCTGAAGCAGAAGGCTGAAGCCGGAATTGCAGCCTCTCCTTGGGTGAGCATTTAATATTGATTTAACATAAATATTTGTATTTTTTGTTGTTGATCTACAAAGAGCCCCAACAGCAAACGAAGACAGAAAATAAAACAAGATGAATAGAACGTCACGAAAATCAATCACGAAATATTTAATGCACTCGAATACCCCGAATATCGGGACAGAGTGCCAGCAAGTACGAGTACGAGCAAGGGTCCGATATATGCGATATATTTATGTATAATACATTTGGCGAGTGTTCAAGTCAAGTTCAGGTTTAGGTTGGCGGCATCGCATTTACGAGGTGACGAGATTGGTGGACCTCTCCCACTGCATTTTTGACGATCTTGGCTGTGTGATGGCACATGAGTGAGGGTCGATTGAAGTGAGTACAAACGGGGATTTCCAACAGTGCAAATAAGTGCTGCAATCCAAATGTAGACGGTCCAAATTGTGGCGCTGTGTATGTCTCCATATCACTGTCCTTTGTCTTCCCATCACCAGTCGCTGTCGCTGTCGCTGTCGCTGTCTCAGTTCCAGTTTCAGTCCCAGCTCCAAAACCCCAAAAAAATGCCCATCAATCGAAACTAGTCGGAAGCCCCACATAATTGCAATATATTCTTCCGTCAACAGTCAGTATACAAAAATGTCCCCTCCCCTCCCCTCCTTCAACTAGTCGAATCATTTGGGTCTACTCTGCATGACCAGGCCCCGATCCTACTCTGCGTACATTTAACGCTATTTTAAAAGAACAAATTAAATTAGAAGTAATTAATTATACATATTTTATTTAATCAGTGCCAAAATGCGGTTTGGGCATTGCATTATTTATTCATGGCCACATTATTCATTCTCTCTTTTTGAAAGAGTTCATAATTGTGTTGATTGTTTTTTTTTCTCGATTGTTTCAATCGAATTATGAGTTACATTTAATTAATCCAATCAAAAACTTTGCGACACGTTGTCAATGCTCCGTTTTACGTATCTAATGCAAACATCCACAAAGACCTGAATATTCCAACAATTATAGAAAAAATAAAGAAAACTAGTAAGAAATACATCGACAGACTCCACAACCACCAAAATAATTTAGCCTTAAGTCTATTAGACAATAGCCTAACAGTAAGAAGATTGAAAAGATACCACATTCTCGGTATCCCTGATAGATAAATCCAACAAACTGAAAAGATGTTATATATAATAGCAGGGCTCATTGGAAAACTGCTATTTCTGTTAATTGAATATTAATTATACAATTTACTTATTGTTTAAACAAACAGATTGTAAATATAAAGAGAGAAAAAAAAATTTAAATAACCGTTTCATGTATTTGGGTTTTATTTTAGTCTGTTTAAAAATATCTGTGCAAATATCTAGTCCCCGCCAATCGTAAGAAGGCTTTTAAGTGGTCTCTGTTTTCCCGTCGTTGTTGTTGCTCCTGTCTCTACACCTTCCTCCGCCTGAGCGCTTCTTCCCCACCCCACCTGTGCTGATTGTCCGTGGTTGCCCGTGGTTGCCCGTGGTTCCCGCTGTGCCCGCGAATCACTTACCAATGAAGCAACGCACATCGTAGCTGGTGCCGATTGGAGCCCCATAATAGCGCTTGGCCGGAACCAACTGAACGCTCGGTGGTGAGTGAGCGTTAAGCACTAATGTGAAGGCGTGGGCGCCACCTCCGAGACGCTTCATAAGGGCCTCCTGTTGAGAGAGAGATGGTATAAAGTTAAGCGGGGCGAGTTCCAATAATATTATGGCGCTGAGATGAGATTAAGCATCTTGATTGGTTTCCAATGGCGCAGAACAGAGCGAAAACCGATACCGCAGTCAGCATAATTGTTTGCCCAGTTAGTTACTTTGATAAGCATCTTGTACATACACACACATACACACACACACACACACACACATAATTCGTGTATTTGTACATTTGTATGTACGAGTGTTCATTAATGGCTTTGTGTACAATTCATTGTATTTATCGAGAGCTGTGTGGAGGAACCGGCTGTGCTTGGAACATATATAAATGTATTTAGATATTCGTTTATTTCTCATTTTAATTATGCGTTTCGACCAAAAGTCTTTTTATCACAAATGCCTAAAACAACAACACAAAATGAACGCGAATGAACGAAAAATGATAACCTTGTTTGCTGTGTCTCCTGTGACTGTCTTTGTCCAAGTTTTGTTTGTTTGTTTCTGTGTATTATTTGCTTGACGCCCGCATTTCGTGTATTCTTTCATTTGCATTTGATTATACATTTAATTTGGAAATATGTAGTATATGTATGTACATATGTGCATACATACTCTACATACATTTATCTTTTATTATGGCAAAATGTTTCATTCGGAACATAAATCCTAATTTCTTTTGTGCCCGTGTGCATAAACGAATACATATATATGTATGCATGTATGTGCATAAGTATTTATGTATGTACATTGTACATATTATAACCACAACTAATCGCTGGCGCGTGTACGTATATCCCCGGTTGCCAAAGGCAACAGGCAGTGGCAGCCACAAGGTTTGCCACAGAGCCACGGCACAAAGACGTTTAAAGTCGAATTGGCATTGTCACCCCCCCCCCCCCCCCCACCAACAGACTCGTAAAAGTTCTCTACCAAGGCTCGAGGGAGACAACAAAATCAAATCATAAAGTTCATGAACTATCAAACATGATAGCCCTCTGTGTGGCAATCTTCAGATCCAACTCTTACACTTGCGCTGTCTACTTCTGCTCTTCCCAGGTACTTGCTTGGGCCAGTTGCTTGGTTTCTGGGGTCACATTCTCCTCCCCCATCTGCCTTCAAATTTGATAATCTATCATTTGGGAATCTCTTTTTTTACTGGCACACTTCACTCAATCTATCAATGCCCACAGACTGCTGGGCCTTTACTCCCTCAACAAGTTTACTGCCCCCTGGCAACGTTCCTTTTCTTTGGCTGAGGACTATATTTGGGAGGGACACCATCGTCGTCTTGCTATTCGGTAAGTTATTAAAATCAAATTTATTTTATTATGCGTGCTTTTGAATGTGTGTGTATCTGTCTGTATGTGTCTAGTTTCCAGTCCGAGCAGCCCGTGTCCATTTGGCTAACCGAATTAGTTCGCCTTGTGGGCTGTGTGCTGTGGATGTGGGCAGCGGGCTGGGGTGGCTGTCAGAAATGTGAATGTCAAAATGAATAAAAACACAAAAAATCGAAAGCTGAATTTGAGTCCGAAAAAAATGTAAAATAAAAAGAATATGAGCAGAGGCAATGGCCAACATTTGTTTGGCTTTTAGTTAAATGGAATTGATTTTCAATTGGTTTAAGTGCATCCATAGGGTTCCCTCCATCGCATAATAAATATATGCATGGAACCGGACCTGGACCCAGACCTAATCCAAGGCGATGCACTCGTCTGACTCGATCTCCTGACGTTCCCAGGCAGCGGTTGAGCGCTGAGAGTGAAGAGGCGAATGAGTATGGCCACCGTGTTGGCTCGGTCATAAAATTGTACAACATTCAAGTGCCTCCAGAACTGTGGCACCAAGCACCAGACAAGTCGAAGTTGCAAATACTCTAAGTGGAAAATGGTCATAGCTGACAGCTAAGAATGTCCCCCGGAATGGAGTTTTAAGGCAAGCTTCATATAAAGACTGAAATGGGAAGTGCTGGTACTGCTGGTCCATTAAGCAGGTGAATTTCAGCATTGGCTCTGACGTCCCAGCGATACTTTTTCGATCTGCACTTGGACGATCGAGTGGCAAGGTGCCAGGCACTCCAATAATTGTCCAATTATTTATTGGTCTTGTGCAGTGAGGCGTCAGAGTCAGAATGAGAATTGATGGCGAAAGGCAGTTGAACAGAGAGTGGCAAGACCTTGGGGCATTTCATGGCTTGGCATCCAATCCATCCATTAAACATTGCCGTCGGCAATTTAGAATCCTGCTGCCAAAGTTGGCGCGCGGCAAAAAGTTTCCCGTTAATCTACCGCACTACACTCTACAGCTGGGCAAGGACTTGCAACGGCTTTTGTCCGTCGCCAGATGCCTGATGTACAGGAGGAGAGTGCAGCGGGCAGTAGCTGTGGCTAGAGGAGGAGGCGGTATGGGCAGAGAGAAGCATTGTTTCAATTACGATGATTACCTGCAAGGGGCTAAGCGAGTCCGGTGCTGGCTCCTGGAGGCGTGGCCAAATCTGATGCAGCGACATGATGGCCTCGTTGCAGAAACGCAGGCCCATAACCTCCTCATCCTCGCGGCCATAGCTGCAGGAACCACGAAGGATAGAAGGACACTTAGTTAGACCCATTGGCAGTAGTAGCAGCAACAGGAGCAGCAGCAGCAACAAGAGCAGAAACAAGAGCAGCAACAGGAGCAGAAACAGCAAAGCCAACAATTACTCTGCCACTAAGACCATGGCAACCAGGCACAGTAGTCAACTGTCCGACACTTCTCCAGTCAGTTAGTCCCGCCTGCCTCTGGCTGCCTTGGTCAGCGGGCCGAGCTGGCTGCCAAATTACAATTTCAATTTCAAAATTAATATTCGTCAGTCCGTTTCTCTTCCACGATTATCGCTGTTTTCTGTTTTCTGTTTTCTGTCTCTGTATTTTGCTGTTGCTGCTGTTTGCTGTTCTCTGTCTCTACTTCAATGTACGTCCGTCCATTGCCAAGGGTGCCCATGGCCTTAGCCTTACCGAAAGGTCAGCGTTAGCTGGGCATACACACGATATCCCTGGATGGCCTTCGGGTCCACATAGAGAATGCCACGCAGCACCGCCGCCTTGTCCCCGGTGAGCGTCATCTCTCGCGTCGGCAAATACAGAGTTAGCACACAATTCGGTGAGGTCTTCTTGTAGACGCGCTGCGTTCCAAACTCATCCCGTGTAGCCGACCTGTGTGGAATGTCAAAAACAGAACACAGACACATATTAGATGGGTGCAACAAAGAGGAAATCGTTATCAAATGGCAGCACCCAGAGTGTCACTTCTAGTTGAGCTCTTAGACTAGATTGCAGCAGAATAGTTTGGTCTTTGATATTTCGAATTAACTAAAAGATTTAATTGGGGTACCTCCCGCTGTAATCACTGGGAACGCTCGCACACGCTGCCATGACAATCACTTTGAATTTGAGTTTTGAATTGTTAAAACTTTAAGTGCCTCATTTGAGAGAAATTGCACAACTCAATCCACATTCATTATTGACATGTGCAATTAAAATCCGCAGCTGGCTCCTCAGGCGATTTACTCGCTTTTAGGGGCACACACATGGGAGAAGCACAAAATTCTCTCATGCCCTATCACCCGCCACCTGACCCCGCCCAATCCTTCTAAACATTTGAGATGACTTCTCAGAATTTAGCAGGGCAGCAGGGCCTATGGCAAAAAATATTAAAATTCAGTAAATTTGTGTCAAATTATGGGCGGCTCTTCTGCAAATGGTTGTGGTGTGGTGTCATGTGGTGTGGTTTGGTCTGTGTTGTGTTGTGATGCGGCATGGCGTTGGTCGGTTTGCTGCGGTTTTTGCACACATGTCATTGCAGTGCAGCCATTCATTGATTTCTGCCAGGGACAGCCAGGCAGGGAGACAAAGAACGATTTCCGACAATGAACTGTCAATTGTCAGCAAAGATATTTGAGATTATCAGCGAGTCGTCGTCCCTGATTCATTCCCAAATGATATTAAAGGAAAATGGGGGGACTTCCTTTGGAGAACTTTTATTTTACTAGGGGACACTTAGCATACTTAAAAAATTGCATACTTGGAGTCAAAAGTGTGGCCCTATTAGTGCGAGAATAAAACAGAAACATATACATAATTTTTTGGTTGTCAAGGATACTCGTTTCGAGGTGGTGGCCTGCCCTATCCCACCTTTTGGCCATTGCCATGGCAAAAGCCGGAGACGGACTTATGCGTTTGTTCGTCCTTCGTTTGCCACTTACGAGTCTTGCGGTCTGTGCAATTACTCGTAAATGCTAGCGAGCCCCAAGAAGTATGCAATTAAAATGCCTGCCAAAAGCGACAGTAGATACCGGGTGGTGGCGGGGGGACACCGTGACAGTGTGAGTCCGTGATAAATGCAGGAGGTAGCCAGAGGGGACCCAATTAGATTCCAAGCTCTTTGGCTTAAGTGTTTTAATTAGTTTCATTTTGCCATTGATTTGCCATCAAAACGGCAGAAATTAAAATTCAACACAGTTCAAATAGAAATGTGAACACACATAGAAATGGAAATATTCCCTGCTCCAAAAGGGAATGCCTAACAGAGTCAGGCACTGCGCCGAAAGGGTGTCCATTGGACTCAAAGGGCGTGCCGAACTTACTCGCACTATAAGTTTACTAATTCTCTATGGATAATCTAAAGATAACAAACTAAAAATAACACATATCTAGTAATTCGCAACACGGTGCAAAAATCTAAAAAATATTTGGTTTCTTCTAATGAAATTGCTATTGAATGTGGAATAAATTGCGAAACTGTTCTCTAAGTTTACAATTATAGAAAAAAGCTAGAAAGAATGTGTGGTAAAATTAGTTTAAAATAAGATGAATATTGAACTATTATTGGACAGCCATTGTTTAATGATAAGTTACTCAGTCCTAAAGACTTTCTTTAATGATGAGTTTGTGCTGTCACAGATCCTGCACGCGTGCAACTAACTGAAACTGTGCTACAGGACTGTGCTACGAGTAATTTGAGTTGATGGATTAAGTTTTGATTAGCATAAGCATTTCTACACAATAATCATTGAAAATAATTATTATTATTATTATTATTCTGTTCTGAATGGTGAGCTGGGAATGTGATGTCTGTCCATGTGATTCCATCATGGAACGTCTTTCTTTTCAGTCTTTGGATGGCATTAGTTTTCATTTAAATGTTAAAACAAAGTGTGAAGCATGGAAAATTTAATGAAATTATTTCCCAAACCCCTCAGTGATTGTCGCAGATTGTGCCTTACTTTTTTCTTTTTAAAAATCTTTCGTGCAAAGGGTGCAAGCGACTCGTGTGTTTAGAAATTATGCCATGGATGTAGATACTCGTATGTATAAAGATCCGGGACACATCTTGTTATGCCGCAGCGAACATATGTAGCCACACGGCCAAACGGACTCCGAATCCGTAAATTTATGGAAAAGTTTTTACCACCCAGTTTGCCATTTGTCTCGCTCTCGCCGCAAAATTGTCAATTGCAAATAATTAATTGGCTGTGGGTCCTTAACTGTCCTTTACCCGTTCTTTTCTGCCCGACCTATTCTATCATTATAGATTTAATATTTAATATTTATGAAACTTTTGCAAAACGACTTTAAATTTATGTGGGACAGTTACCAATACCAATCCAAGTTACCAGTTCCGACTTTTGCCTGTGCAGCTGCTCCTCTTTTTTTAAGGAAAACTTTTGTGCAGAGACTGCCGGACAAACACAAAAGGAAAGAGTGTACTTTTGTGGCGACTACAGCAACATCTATAAGAGATAACTTAAGATAACCAAGAAGTACTTCACTGGCACCCGCATTGATAATTGTTTGCTTTTGCTCATTTCTTAGCGAATAATTTAATTGAAATTTCCGAGCTTAATTTACTCTGGTTAGCCACTGGTAAAAATTGAACTTTCGGTTATGGCCTTTGTTTGGTCGCAGTTTATTTGTTCTCATTCTCATATAGGAAAGGAAACACTAATCACGGGTACCTGGGGGCCTGTTAAAACACTGAAATTTGATATGAAAGTAGACTACCTGTTCCTGCCTCTGTTTCTGTTTATTTTGTATTTCCTTTGTAACGAAACAAAAATATATGCACAAATGAGAAACCTTTTCCGCACAGACAAAACCTTGGCATGGATGTAAATGCAACTTTGAATTATATCTGGAAATTTGCTTATTTTTTCGCACTTGCCTAGGCTGAGGCAAGAGTTTTTTGCCTCGACTTTGCCCTTTCTACTTATTACTTTGTTTTTTTTGTGTGTTATTTAACGCTCTCATAGAGCGACAAGGGCAAGGCAGTTCACAAAGTGTTGCCTCGCTTGAATTGGCGCTGCTGTCACAGGCAAACTTCTTAAGCTTTTATTTGTTTCCTTTCAGATGAACAAATTTGAAATCTCTTACCTAAGGTCAGGCCTTTAAAAACTTCTACTAATTAATGCCACAAAGGAGCAGGACCATTGCCATTGCAGAACTTTCCACTCGTTATCGTATTTCTCTAACTGATTTAAACGTCAATTTAATTTTGTTGTACCTTGGGGGCGGAAGTGGCAAACAGGCTTAATAATTGGCAGATCAGAGATTAGAGGAAGGCATGGAGCAGGGGATTGACTTAATTGTAATTAATTAACCCGAGCTGGCCTTTCATTTAGAAATGATAATTGGCGTATTGGTCTCCCCGATGGCGACCATTTGTATGGGGCAGTAGGGTTGTTAATGCATTGAAATGAAATGGCATCAATGCATCCGGGTCAAGAATGAAGCCCGTGTTCGTGGCCCGTGTCTGATGCCCGATCAAGGTCACTTCAATCGATTAACCCAGACAGGCTGGAGGCTGAACTTGATCGAATCAAAATGGCAAAACGTGGAAAAACGCGGAAAACCTTTTAGCCCCGCAATGGCATATGATGTCCACCTGTGGTCCTGCCAGCCTATCTGGCTGCCTACCTGCTGCGTTCATGGTGTGATTGTAAGCCATTTAACAGCTCAAGGACTGTGGCCAGTTCAGTCCAGTCCAGATGCTGCTTTCTGTTGTGTGCATCAAGGATAATGCGGAAATTAATGTGGGGGCACATCAAATCAAAACAATTTTAACAAAAGCCAAGGCCATAGATGTTGGGAGGGGGCGTCGAACAGTCTCATTTTGATGTCCTGCTGGCTGCTGTGTCCTTCAGGTAATTGTCTGCCTGCCAGCGGAGAGGCCAATGCCGACAGTCGTCTGACCGCGCCACACACCATATCAACCTACAATTTTCTTTGCAATTTAATTGCATTGCGGTGGTCCGGTCTGTCCGGTGGTGTGTCTACTTTGATGGACATGAACATGGGATACATGGCACAGGGAGATGGACAAGGAGATGGAGCTGCAGTTAAATAATTCGATTGATTCGCTTGTCAATCAGATTGGGGCAACTCGATTGTGTGCTTTAAATATGTATGTCTACCACATACATAATAATTACTCAACTCCGTCTCAATTAATTAATTTCGATGTCATTGGCCCAGTGATTAATGGGCAGAAAACCAAACCATCAAATAGCTGTGGTACAACCAGCTGTATGCCAAATACGAGTACTCAGTCTCAGTCTTGTGAGTCTCTATTATGAGAATATTTGGACAAGCCGCAGGTATCCATCCTGCTTATGTTTCCTATCGACTGGATTATTGCTCGTTAAACTTTCAAAAATGTTCACACTCTTGGCTGAAGTCAAATGATTTAAATGGGAACTGGATTAAATGAATCCAACTTGAGCTGCCACTTAGTAAGGAGGCAGGCACGGACTGACAGCTTGACAAGCAGGATATTACCTATACCTCCACTTTCACCTGCTGTAGCAGCCGTAGATAAGTCCGAGTGGCAGTTAGTCCAAATTCAGGTGACTTTCTGCCTTTGCCATAACAAAGTTACAATTTTAATTAACTACTAATGAACGTGCCCGTCTGTCTGAGGAATGCCACAAGCAATGTAAAGTCAGCACATTTGTGGTACTTGCATTCGCAGTATTCACATTTCAAATTCAACCAAATGAACCCCGCACACACTCGCAGAAAATTGCCTAGTTGAACGCTTTACAGTAGATAATAACAGCTTAGTTTTCCAACGAATAGAGTTGCAACTTGGCTGAGAAACCACTCCACACGCAGGAGAGAGGCGGTTCAGGGCGGGCCGGAGTGGGTCGGGTCTCCGG